TCTATCAGCTGGTAATATATTTTCATTGAATATATGTAAGGAAACTATTGCTTTAAAATTAACATTAAACAGAATAACTCAGTATCTCTTTTTATGATATGCAAAAAATAGAAGAGATCATAACCTATGATTTTTATTCCCGCCATGATATTTTGCACACTAGGAAGAGAATTGTGAGTTTTTTTTTTTTGTAAAATTAAAGCTAATAATAATAATAACAATTTTGTAAATAATTGAGGAATGGGAGAAGGTTTCGAAATAGATAAAAGGCAAGCCTATCTGGCTAAATCAAGAGAAAAAATATATGAAGTTGTGAGGAGCAATATACTTGTAAGGAATATAGTCTCTATAATGGATAATTTATATTAATATCAATATATATAAATGATTACAGATTCTCTCTATAATGGACATTCTTTCATAATACTAATACTAATACTAAACCATATTAATATAGAGTGAGTGAACTGTATATGGTGGCAAAATATTATGGAATGGTGTTAATCAAATCTCCTTGTGTGGAAATAGTGATAATTGTTTACGAATACAATCCAAGCCTGTATCTAAAGTTAATTTGATGTAGAGGTAATTGAGGAAGTGGTGAGTAAATTGAATAAAAATGGTAAAACAGCCAAAGGACATTGATTATATATAGGTTTATTGTCAATTGAAATGCGACCATGAAAAACTCACTGATAAAACTTTTAAATAAAAGAGGTTGATTGCGATTGCTTGATTGGTTTATAATGTGCAAAATAGTAAAAAAAATAATGATAATTTATATAACAAATTTAAATGGAAATACGTTACAAACAAACCTTCATATACTTGGTGTTATTGTCATTGTTGTCCTCAACAAAAATAAATAAATTTACTACAGATCATTAAATTTTTGTGGTTTTCTATAACGAAAAATCATTAATTATTAAAGAAATCAATATCAAGTGTCAATTTTCATTTTATTCAAAGAATTTACAACCCTTTTATGATATTACTTAATCATAATTACAAATAAATACCAATATTAATACAAATGTTAATATGCAACAAAATATTAAATAATCATTACTTCACGCAATATCTCTCTTTATGAGTAGATGATGATGCAATGTGACAATCATTCCATATGTATAAATGTAAAGGCTCAAATAAAATCACCTAATTTGATTTTCATTTGAATTTGAATATGATTTATGATTTCATTCAAATCTATAGTTATTTTTTAAGATGATGGATGATTTACTAAATTAATAGGACTGCTGCGTAATCATTCATAATTACTCAAAATTATTGCAAATTGAGTCAAAAAAATATTTTGCTTTTCCATCTATAACTGTGAAAGGTTACACATTGCACTATACTCGTGAAGAAGTTATTGAAGAAGAGACATCATTTTCAACAATGCAATTATCATCATTCGTCATTGTTATATTAATGATATCAGCCGTTAAAAAAACCTTAGCCAGCTAAGAACTTGTATGTTTTTTTTATTTTGGATAAATGATTTATGTTTATATGAATTACCAAAAATCAATTGTTTTTATTGTTTAATCAAAAAAGTTATTGCTATTATAATTTACTAGTGGTAATGCCTAGTGATATATAAGCCGGTAGAAGAATCTTAGCCGGTTAAAGGACCTGGATAAAATTTTTAAATAACGTG